ATTTAAGCTCAGGAGATATCAACAATGTGGCAACGTTGATTGCACCTTGCATTTTTATTTCGTTTAATGTCGTATTCGATTTATGAAATGGTCAATTTCCGTCAGTTTGAACTGAATTTTCTTGGAGAAAAATGAAAAAACCCGCATTTTTTTTTTCATAAAACTATTATTTGAGTTGTCTATTTTAATGTAAAAGCTTCAAAAATGTCAAATTCGTGTTTCCGGATAGTGTGATGGACCCAAGATGAAAATGCATTGATTGAATGGATATTATCCCTGGCTGGTTGTGGATTTCCAGTCATTAAGGATCAACTAGACAGTGTGGAAATGCTTGTGAAGTGGTTGAAAAAAGCCCATCATTTTAAAGCCGGAAGACCTCGAAGGCATTGGTTTGGTACGAGGGGTTTATGAGAAGAAATCCAAAAATATCTGCAAGAATCTTGAAAAACTTAACCAATCCAAGTGCTTCTGTCTCAGAAATCAAAATTAAAAGATGGTTTTTCCAAAATTACTCAATATTTAAATTAAAAACAACTTTAAAAAACCGTATGTCCATGAAAAGGTCTTACTGTGTTGATGCTGGAGGCAATCCTAAATTTCAAGTGTCGATAATAGGTGAAAAATTGAACTCTGTTAAAAAATCAATACATACAATAAATACTTACTTAATTTATTTAACTAACTTGAGACATGGGAATGTGATACAGTAAAATTTATTTTATATGAACCTCTCTATCCCTCATCCGAAGTTCTTTTATTTTGAACTTACATATTTTTATATTTTGTGCTCACTGTATAAAAAAACGTGAATACATTTATATAACAAGCAAAAGAAATTATGAAGAACTACTTTTTTTCAAAAAATTGAAAATACTTTTTTTCCCAGTAAGTATCTAAAGTTTATCCATGGACACAATGTAAACATATTCTGCTTGAAAACCTCATCAAGCTGTGCATCATCCTTCCTCTAATTATAGAGTTATATACCACAACTAAATTTTAGTTTCAAAGACTTTGTCACAGTGTCATTAGTCCACTTATCAGTTTTGTAGTTTTTTTCCTTTTTTTCTTTTTCAAGGCTGTTATCTGATCATTGTTGAATAACCGCTTAAACAATTCATCACATTGTGGAAAATCTGCTGTTTTTTGTACTACCTTCAATTTATTTCTTGCTTGCCTTAGAAGCTTTTTGTATCTTACGGCCTTGTTTCTCTCCCTAACATACAATGTCTCGTATCTGTTTAATTTTGCTTGCAGTTCGGTTATTATGTCTTTGCCCTTGGTTATTTCCAGCAATAATGATGAAACTGGATCCCTATTTTCTTCATTTGAAAAAATTGAGGATGACTTCTGAGTTGCTGGTAAATTACCTTCCAAATCTACACTTGATGTAGATAGACCTTCTACAAAAGGTAATATAACTAAAGCTTCATTTGTAAAAAACTGAGTAAAAAACATTTTTAATAAAGAAATATTAAGAAGAAAATTATCAAAAACTTATTAGAGTAATACCTAATGGTGAATTTGGAGTCCTATTTTCTCTACTCGAAAAAAATGGGGATGACTTCTGAGTTGCTGGTAAGTTACCTTCCAAATCTGCACTTGATGTAGATAGGCCTTCTCGAGGGCCTTCTATAGGAGGTGATAGACCTAAAGCTTCATCTGTAAAAAAACAAGTAAAAAACCCTATTTTCAATAAATAAATATTAAGAAGAAAACTAAGTATTAAAAACTTATGGTAGCAATCATGATGGAACTGGAGCCCTATTCTTTTCGTTCGATAAAAATGAGGATGAGTTCTGTGTTGCTGGTAAATTACCTCCCAAATCTGCACTTGATGAAGATAGGCCTTCTACATAAGGTAATGGAACTAAGGCTTCATCTGTAAAAAACCGACTAAAATCCTTATTTTTTATAAATAAATATTTAGAAGAAAATTATCAAAAACTTATTGTAGGTAGGTAGTTACCGACTACGCATGCAATGTTATTGCCAGATGAAAGTTCAGGCTCTTCTGGAGAAAGAGGCTTTCCTTGAACTGGAGATTTCCTGATAGTTTCCCCTTTTACAAAAGAAAAAATTGTAGGAATAGCACTGGACTTTAACTTTCTTTTGCCATCTACATGAGGCTTTTCCCACATTTGAGGAGCAAAATGAACCTTAAATAAAAATCAGTTTTAGTATCTAAAAACAAGACATGGTGTGCCCTCAAGACAGTTGAACACAAGTGAAAAATTCAACAACAAAAAAAATGTTTAAAAAGTTCTAGTTAGTTTTACTTCACATAAACAGGAATAGTCAGTTGGTTTCCAATAGCTTCTCTTCATATTAATAAGCCAAGTTTGTCTTCTGAGTGGATCTCTAGGAAAGCGTTTCATTAAAAATCCCTGCTCTCCAGAATTTGTGCAATTTATTGCAGCACAAAGAGTCATTTCAAAAATGAACAGGGTACACGCTAGAAAACCTTTAAAAAAATCAGAAAACGATAAATTTATGATAATTGAGGCATTGTTGTCACAGTAATAGTAGTTTATTACCTAATTTTCATCATCTATTCTGAATAATACAAATAATCCTTCAAAATTTGAAAATAATCTGTGAATTGACTTTGTAGAAAATTCTTAGGCAGAAGCACACAGCACACATGGTTTAATTTTTCATGCATAAATTATTAAATAGGACATAAATGTAATATTTACCAGTATAAATAGAAGTCTGTATCAGGCAAGGGGCACAATACTCACTATATTATAAATTTAAAAAATTTACAATAAATAATTATGGAATGTATAATAAATTATCCAATCCAATTATTTTAGTTTTTTTCAACCATATATTACACAAAAATCCTTAAAATTCAACACGAAAATAAAAAAATACATAGGAAACACGGGCAAACGAAAAACGTAAACAAATCAACTCGGGAACAAAATGGCGGCAGCCTGGGAAACCAATCAAAAATAGGACAGCAATTGTCGCCACTGTAGGTTATTTAAGTCACTGTAATAATACCCACCCTTAGTTACTTTTGTTTTTAATGTTGACAGCCCGCTAATAATTTTTGTTTTCTTCTTTTGGCAACTATGTTCGCGCACCACAATATGGCGTCCAAGGTCAATTGACCTTTTGTTTGGACGCCATATTGCGGTGCGCGAACATAGTTGCCAACAGTAGAAAAAAAAAATGACTAGCGTTCTGTCAACCTTAAAATCCAATGTTAGTGAATAAATTACATTCAAACTTTAAATTTGCCGCCTATTACGAATGTTTTTGGAAAGGAAAGCCATCAATTTTAGCTTGTATTGGGCAGAATAGAAATAATAAAATATCTAGTTGACAGCCTGCTAGTAATTTTTGGTTTTCTTGTTTTGGCAACTATGTTCGCGCACCGCAATATGAGGCATTTTCGATTTATCAGCATTCCTGGTTTTGGTTGACATAAAAATGACAGATTTTTTGACAGCGGTTTCAGGTGGTCCTAAGATAATGACGTAGTGTCATTTCATAAAACGAATGCAATTTTCCTGTTTTTCTAACCACACTTTTTGGTATTGTTTCTACAAGCTATTTGCTTTTTTCTTAAATTGTTAGTTTATTTATCGCTGTGTATTTGAGTGGTTTTTATTGTGTATTTTGGATTTCGTTTTTTTTTGGGTGGAGATGAGTGCGAGGAAAAAATTAAAATTAAGTATTGCTTTGGCAATTGAAGCTACTGAGGATAATTCCAACAGTAATAGCAGTAGCTTAATTTCCCTAGTAACTGCTGTCACAGCTGCAATCAATGTCCAGAGCATGAATACAATTGCAGTAGTCTCTCTCTACAGAGAAGATCACATCAGAATGCCAGGCTTCTATGAAGAATGGATCAATAAATATATTGATCATGATTTTTACAACCTGTTCAGAATGACCAGAAAAACATTTTCTGAATTACTCAAGGCAGTGGGGGAAATTGTTAAATCCAATTTCAAGAGAGAAACTTGGTTACGTGGAAGACAAGCAGTGCCCCTGGAAAAATCATTGTTAATAATGCTGTGGTATTTGGGTAAAGGAGAAACATTTATTTCTATTGCCGAACGATTTGATGTTACCCTTTCGACAGTTCATGACCTGTTGACTAATTGCTTCGAATATATGACCAAGTTAATGGACAAGACAATAAGATGGCCATATAAAGTTAGGGAGCAAGTACAGATTTCTGAGGAGTTTGAGGCTATAAGTGGCTATCCAGGTATTTAGATAGACAACACTTTGAAAACTGATTTTATTTTTACTTTTAATTTTAGGTGTGATCGGGGCAATTGATGGTTGCCACATACCAATAAAAGCACCCGTAAAGCAGCATGATAGTTATCAAAACCGGAAATTTTTTCATTCAGTAAACTTGCAGGCAATATGTACTGCATCGAAGGTTATAACAAACATTTTTGTGGGATTTCCTGGAGCTGCAAATGATGCAAGAGTAAGTACCTAATTCTATGCATTTTTAATAGGTACCATATTTCTTTTTCAATGAAGACAGTTTTTTAATTGCTCCAAAAAGGTAAAAAAATATTTCCAATTTTTAAAGGAAAAGTAATTTTTGTCATACGCTCCCAAAAACAGCTATTTTACGGACTCATTCAAGTCCGTAAAATGCTTTTTTTAAGGACCTTCTTTCTGACTGGATGCACTTTTATGATTTCAGAAATTAAGGAAATTTTGCAAATTTTAGCGTTCTGAAGAATTCTAAAAAGCATATGACAAAAAATAGTGTTTGTCACACGTACCTAACTACGTTTTTCAGGACTCATCTGCTATTCCGGACTCGGCTAACGCCTCGTTTGGAAACAGCAATGATTCGTCCTCAAAAACTTCATTTTAGGTACTTGTGACAAAAATAACTATTGAATTACTTAATTATTTATCTAACATTTCTCATATACCTAATTGTTTTCCTATTTTATGAATAAGAAACATTTTTCTTATTTGTTTATTCAATTCATTATTCCACATTTCAGGTTTTTAAAAATTCTACATTATACAAGAAGATTAATGAACATAGTTCAAAGACATTTTTCACGGATGAAAAGTATCACATAGTTGGGGACTCCGCATATATTTTGTTGAATTGGCTAATGAAGCCTTATGAAGAATCCAAGAGGACCACTAGAAAAGACAAAACCCACAATTTTAAATTGAGTCAGACGAGAGTGGTTATCGAGCACACTTTCGCATTTTTGAAAGGACGGTGGAGAATTTTAAAATATATTAATGTAAATAGTATTGAAAGAGCAGTACAAATTATAACTGTTTGTTGTATACTACATAATTTTTGCTTGGTCCATAATGATTTGTTTAATCTGGAAGCTGACGATAATGGACTGATGGATGATGGACTTTCATTGGGAGGACATCAATACTATGGAGAGGACCAAATTCTTGCAAAAAGAAAGAGGGACGGAATAAGAGACAGGATTTGTTAAAAAAGCCCCATGTATATAAGGAATAAATAATGCATCAATAATTGAAAACCTTATTTTATTTCATACTCTGTCTAAGCATTAAGCAGACTAGATGATCCAATAAATGAAGTTTCTTACTGAAAATACCTATACAGTCATTTTTTTCTCACAACCAGTATAAAAGGCTAACTTATTAGTGAACTTACCTTCTTGCACTACATCAATCACAGAAAAAAAAAATACAAAAATATATTAGCAACTTACAAATTATTAGTCTTACAAACTCTTCAAAACAAAAACATATCCCTATCTATTTGGTTTATAACATAAATCTCACAAATTTCTTATGGAAGACAAAAATCCTTATTACTATAATAATATAAATAAATGAATGAATTAATAGCAAATAACTTCCAACTTTGGTAACAATGAAAAATTTCTTACATAACAATAAAGATTTTTTTAATTTCATACCAATGATCTTTTCATACTCTATCTAAACAGACAAGACTATCCAATAATTGAATTTTTTTACTGGAAACACCTATTCAGTCATTTTTTTCTCATAGCCAACATAAAAGGCTAATCTATCAGTCAACTTGCCTTATTGCACTAACATCAACCACAGAAGAAAAAACAAATAGAAAAATATATGAACAACTTACAAACATAAATAAGGACCCAAGTATTTACGTTGGGTTGAAGTAAATAAACTAAGTCTTATAAACTCTACAAAACAAATAACATCCTACCCTACCTTACCTATTTGATTTATAACATAGATCTCACAAAAAGGGTAACTCCAACCTTATAATGAAAGAATTAATAGTAAATAACTTTCAACTTTCGTAACAAAGAAAAATTTCTTACATAACAATAAAGAATAATAATATCATGAATAATACATTATAACAAATAACACATGAGTCATATTTATCTAGGACAATCATGGAACATTACTCCGAAGAAGAAGAAGAAGTGGACCTTCTTCTTTTCCTCTTTTTTCTTCCAGTCTCCTCCTTCTTGCACAAGTCTTTTAGGACATTGATTAATGTGTTTCTTTGTTCTGTTTGCTGCTGTAGGTACTGAGTTTGTTTTGTCATGTTTTCATTTATAATATTAGTTATATCCCGGAGTTGAGTTAGTTGAGATTTGTGACATTCCTCCATTGTTTTAATTATTGCATGCTTGGTAGGTACAGGTTTAACAATTTTTTTTGATGTGAAAAAGGAATCTTTATCGGAACATAGAGTAGAGCTAGAATTAGAACCCTCTGCACTCATTTCCAACAAAGGCGATTTCCAATTTGGGTTTTCTTTAGGTTTTGAAGCATTTATCTTGCCAGTCTGAATAGAACTAGAACCAGGTATAGGGGATACTAGAATATTATTGAATTGCCGAGAGCTTGGACCTGGAATGGAAATTTCATCACTTCTTTCATGCTCTCGTTCATGCTCTACCTCTTCATGCAAAGCAAAAGGTTCAGGAGTTAAGGAATCTACCAGAAAAGGAGGCTTTACCTTATCCTTCTCCCCTAAAATTTTATGCATTTCTTCAAAAAATGCTGGCTTTTCTTGAAAACTGGAACCCGTTTGTTTCATGTTGTCTCTGAAAGCAATGTAGACTTTCTGTAAGTTACAAAATTTTTGTCTACATTTCTCAGCTCCTTCTTTTCCCTGGCCTATATCAAAACCTGATTCTCTCAATTCATCGGCAATCTGACGCCACAAAGTAATTTTTTGGTGTTTCTTGTCTTTGAATTTTTTTTGAAATTCATCTCGCCCTCTAATTGTGAGAAGAGCAGTTGTGGCTTCAATGTCTCTAGGCATCTTTTTGTGTGGTACCCATACCTTATTTGTATCCAAATTTTCCAAAGTATTTTCACTCTCAGTAAAACATTGAAGATTTTCTGCCGACAGATTTTCTTGTGTATCGTCATCGAATACACTGTTGTTGGGAGTCTGACTTTGAAATGCTGAAATTTAAAATTCCACACATTAAAATATTATGACCAAAAAATATTATACCTAATAGGTACTGTCACAAATCTAACTTTGCCTCTAGTCAATGTACAGAAAAATCCACACATATTTGATTACCTCTAGGAAGATAAAAGGTAAGATACTCACCAGTTTCCATTCTCTTCACAGCCTCTGGTGCAAAAGGTTGATCATCCATTCTCATAATATCTACTTTACCATTGTCTTCAGCCGTGATTCCAAAGGCAATGAGTTTATTTGCCAACATCAGTCTAGTGATATAATCTATGGTGTATTCATCATCTAAAAAATTATAATTTTGAGGAAATAAAGTTATAAAAACTCTTCCAAGCACAAGATAGGTATCTTTTTTTAAACTGGATTAAAATACCTTTTTCAAGAGTAGATTTGAAATTATTGTACATACCTGTCAGTAACAACACACAGGTTTCTATATCGCCGTGTATGCCTACTTCTCTATTTTTAATTATAAATTTAACAGCTTCCATTATTATTATTTTTTTTTTCACAACATATCCGAAATTTCTTCAGTTGTATTTTTAGGTTAATTTTGTTGTTTACAAATCAAGACCAGGCATTGGAACCAGCTTCCCCGGTCGGTCCTGAATATTTACGACCAGGTTCTGTGTGTGACGTCATTGTTCTAAAACGAATGCTCCGTTCCTGGTCTTGGTTGAGCTTGGTCTTGAATTTTCATAAAACGAAAACGCATATGGCGTCGAAACAAAAGTTCAATTTCTTTAAAAAAAAACAGACTTTTTTTTATGATTTATTACAGCTTGAAAACGACTTGTTTCTTGTTTTGCAAATTTGGCTATTCCAAAAAAGCCTTCTTTTTGGGAGTTACTCTACTCAGAATGACACCGAACGACTAGCTCCAGAGCTTGTGCTTGTGTTCTACTGTCAAAACAAAGGCGGTTGAAGGTAACAGCTGATTTTTGTTTTGCCCAATCTTTGTAAATAAAAGTCTATGATAAAAGTAAAAGTAAATAAATAAACAACTAAAAATTAAAACCTTTATTGAACATTACAAAGAAAAACATAAAACTATAAATTGAAATTCGTCAAATTCGTAATGACGACTGTTGAACGTGTACGAATAATGGTCCTAGGAGATTCAGGAGTAGGAAAAACATCGTTTGTCCATCTAGCAGCCCATAACGAACCCATAAAGTCTCCGAGTTGGACTGTGGGCTGTTCCACGGAGGTAAAATTGCACGAGTTCAAAGAAGGCACTCGAGATCAAAAAAGCTACTTCATAGAGTTTTGGGACATTGGAGGCAGCAAAAACCACAGAAACGCCCGTCCAGTGTTCTACAATCCGTGTCACGGTGCTATTTTGGTGCACGATTTGACTAATAGGAAGAGCGAAGAAAACTTGAGAGGGTGGTTGAAAGAGCTATTGGATCACGATACGTTTAATGGTGGCAAGAGTTTTTCAAACTCATTGAAATACCAATCAGACGATGATATAGATGCAGAAAACTTATTGGGCGCCAGCAATTTGATGCCAATTTTAGTTGTAGGCACCAAACTAGATGTTTCTGATGCCAAAAGACTAATTGGATCCAATAATAGCTTTAGAAATAAATCAAACGCTGAAGAAATTTTGTTAGATTGTAGACAGGCAAGGTATTTAGCTGCGGGAACTTCTAATGCCGTTAAACTTTCTAGATTTTACGATAGAGTAATAGAAAATCGAGAACAGGATGTTAACAAGTCATTCTCCGAAAGGTTTGGGAGTAATAAGAGATCCCATGTTTATACTTCGAAATTTTATTTGTCACACCAAGATTGAATAATTATTATTGAATTTTATCAATTTGAGAATTTATTTATTGAAATAAATACAAAAATACGAAAAATAAAACTTTATTCTTTGGCCTTAGCTTTGTTTTGGTTTCACTTTAGAACTACAAGTTCGGATTGTTCGGAATCAATCTGCACATGCGCATATTATAAAACGCTATTTCGTTTTTCCAGAATCGTAATCGAACTGTGTTAACAGTGTTTTGGTTTATCCAGAACTATTTGAGAACAATTCTGGGATTGTTCTAGAACGATTCTCTTAGTTCTTGCTCTGAAGGAGGAACTGTTTTAGAATTTTGTGTTTTGCTGCGTGTTTTGGTTTTTTTGGTTCCGAATCGGTTCAGGGCTAGTATTAGAACAGTCCTCTATTCTTTTTTGTGTGCAAGCAGTTCTGCGCAATTCCAGAACCGATCCAAATTTCGAACCAGAACAAAGCTACCAATTGTTGGTGTAGAAAGGACGACACTGTTTAGAGCAGTGCAGGTTCACTCTATTATGGAAAAGTTTCAGTGCAGATGGTGTAACTTTCACTGTTCAAAAAAATGATTCGGTGTAAGCTTAGAGAGTAGAGCAGAAAGAAAAACAAATACATGTTTTACTTTTCTGGGTCTTTTCTTTACGAGTAGGTACGAATACGTGCAGAACTGATTGTACTCGGTGCAATAAGAATTCATTGTTCGAGAATATCAATGAAAACTCTGACCTGTTGCCGAATAATGTACTGCACTGGGTGCAGCATGCATAGAATAAAATCCTTAACCTTTTTCACGTGGCTCCGGTTTAACAAACCGCAACATACCGCTCAAATTCGAGTGGTAGATATCCATCACGTCACTTTGTAACCGGGTTAGAAAACGGTCAAACGGCCAATAGAATAAAAATAAAAGTTATATACGCAGCTGCAACTTGATTTTGTGCGCAGCAAACCTTGCGTTCGGTATTTTGCTCAAAGTGTAGAGCGAGCTGAGCGGAGCCGTAATCACGTGACCAGCGAGCGAACGGAGCAGTTGAACGCTGTATAAGAGTACCGGAAATTTTAATAAACGAACGCGAATGAGGCTGCACCGAGTACACTTTTTAAATAAACAAACGGTAAAGTCAAGCTCGGAGAACTCAGACCAAAATAACGAACGCACGGAAAGGCAGAAGTTTAGTTTTCTTAGGTTGGTACTCGTGGAATGAGTCATTTTTAAAAATACGTCACTGTCATCAGATTCCCAAAATAAAAGTTAAAAACAATTTTATTGTTTTTATAAATAATTGCTAATTTTTATTTAATTATTACAGATTTTTGTTGATGTACTGTTTTATTGTGTCTTTTAGAGAAAAATTAACCTAATACAACATGGGTAACGAAATGTCATCCTCAGCTATGGAAAGTATCCTTTTTTTAAGAAATAAATACTAATAAACAATTTTTGTTTTAATAATTAGGGATGAGTCATACATTCACCCTTTATTGTGAAATATTTGCGATTATAATTACTGATTAGATCCTACAGTGTGTCCCAAAAATAATGACCAAATCTTTATTGTTCTATGTTTTACGTATCTCACTATAATATTTTGGAATTTCTTCAAATCTCGTTAATATTCCAATAGGCTTAAAAAAGATCTCTTTCAGGTCAAACGCCAGTGTTTTAAGTATTTAATTCAAATTCCCTTTAATCGTGCTGCACAAATCTCTTTAAAATCAACATTGATTCACCCTGTATAGCTTCTAAGTTTTTTCACAATAAGGTAATATTTAAGTTAAACTTTACACATTGTCATGTTCAAGTAGATGTTAAATTTATATCAAAACCCTGTAAATTCTTTGATACATCCTGTATGAAGTTAAAATGTATACAGTTCTAAGAGATGTTCATGTGCTACTCAAGGCCTAAATATAAGTTTTGAGGCAAAACCAAGGTTCCTAAAGTTAATAGGTTATCTGGTAATGGGTAACTTGATGACGCATCTGGGGTGCCTTATGAGGATTTGCATTATGTTGAGGCACCCCAGATGACGTTATAAAGTTATCAAGCAACCTTGAGACAAAACATACTAAAAAAATTCAAATCAATTAAATCAAAAATAACAAAGTTAGAAGATTTCTAAAATTAAAGATTTTTATATGACATGCCTCCACATTTTAATTATTCACTCAAAAACTACTCAAGGCGTAAATATGAGATTTGGAGGGAATATTTTTGAGTCTTTGAGGCAAAACATACTAGAAACTCAAACCAAGTGAACCAAAAATAACAAAGTTACAAGATTTCTAAAATTGAACATTTTTAATATTATAAAGAAATTTCCTTGGAAAAATATTTTGATTTTTTTCAATTTTTCAATTTTTTACTCTATGAATCGAAAGAAGGGATCAAATTTAATGGAAAGCCATTTTCGTGTTTTTTCTTTTTGAGACTTTAGAGCCTGTAAAAAATTAAAAATTATTTTTGCATTTTTTTTTTTGACCTGAAAAATTTTGATCATCCAACATTGCCTCACAAAATCGATCAAAACTTAACTAATATTTTACAAATTCCAATGCATATTTACATATTCTTAATCAAAATTAAATACTCTTTAAGATAAAACAAAATTGAATCATGTATCTTAAATAGTTTCCAAGATATTGAGCCTCAAAGTTAAAACTTTCCAATATAGTGTAACATGCAACATTTTCCTTAAATTCTTCCTCCCAGAGCATTTGTTCAACCTAAAATTCGCAACAAAAGAACTAGAAAGAAACTCAAAAAGATGCGAAAAAGAGGAGAAACAAGAAAAGGCCAAAACCAAACAGGCCATCCAAAAGGGCAACATGGAAGTGGCCCGGATACATGCAGAAAACGCCATAAGACAAAAAAACCAATCGCTCAACTATTTGAGAATGTCTGCCCGTGTAGACGCTGTAGCAAGCAAAGTGCAAAGCGCAGTGACCACGAGAAAAGTCACCAATTCGATGGCGGGGGTAGTTAAAGCCATGGATGCCGCCATGAAGAGCATGAACTTGGAAAAAATCTCAAATGTAATGGACAAGTTTGAACAGCAATTTGAAGATTTGGGAGTGCAAACTGATGTTTTGGAGAATACTATGGCTCAAACAACCACAACTTTGATTCCACAAAATGACGTTGATTCTTTGATGCAACAAGTTGCTGATGAAGCTGGGTAAGAAATTATACTTAAATAATTTTTGTGTAGGTACTAATAAATAAATTGTTTTTAGTTTGGAATTAAATATGGAACTACCTGAAGGTCCTCAAGGAACTACAATTAGTAGTGGTGCCAGTGTAGTGTCTCAAGAGCAAGATGAATTAACTCAACGACTTGCCAAATTAAGGCAGGCTGAGTAGGGATTGTTGTGAAACCTTTTTTGGGGTTGTTTATTGAAAGAGGGGAACAATTAATTTATGTTCATGGAGCTGTTTTTTTTTTTTTTTTTTAATTATAGACTCTTTTTATTTTATTTCACCCACATTAGGTAACGAATTATCCTTGTGTTGTTAAGTTTAAAATAAATCTTTGTATATTAATTAATATTAGTAAAATAAATTTATCTTGTCTGACCTATATTTTCTCCTGTTTCAATAACCGATAAAGTATGCCTTGCATTACAATAAATAATAAAAACTTAACTTGTGATATAGTTCTTACTCTCATATATGATTATTTTGCAAAGCCTAATTTTTGAGTACATTGCTTTGCAATTCAAACTAATTGTGAGCTGTTCAAGGTGTATTAAAAATCCTTTAAAAAAAGGTAGACAGATTAAAATTTATATAATAAATTATTATGTGTAAGCGTGTAAGCTTATTTTCTATATTTAGTTATGTATTTACTGTAAAATTTATGTAAAAACTAGCACACGCTTTATAATGTCAATATTAAAACTTTTTGAATTTACAATTTTCTAATTTATTTTATCTCAAATGAAGCCAGACACAGAAAGTGCAAAGCCTAAAAGCATATGGCAATTTATTGCTACCGAGAAATTGAAAGAACCCCTTTTCCAAGTAAATGTTTTATGTCCTAAAGCTAAATATAAAGAAACATGAGAGGTGTCAATGCCTTTTTGGCTTGTGAAGAACCTCATTGGAGGCCGAAATTATTTTTGTTGAAAGTTTGAAGAAATGTAATTTTTACACAAACCCTCTTGTGTATTTGATGTTTTTCTTTATAATGAAATTTCTATTTTATCTAATTAACTTGATAAAGATAAAGAAGGAATATGTAAGAAAAATTAAGAAAAAATTGTTGAATAAAAGGATGCTCATGTTTTTTCTATTCCAAGCTCTTGAATTTTCTTCATTTCCACAAATTCAAGTGCAGGGAATAGACAAAAATTGAGAAATAGAAATTCCCACACAATACAGAGACGTCCTAAAGGCGCCCCCAAGATGTCCACAAACGACATTCAGACGTCTTTTAACCCATTTTAAAATTGGTAGAATATTATTAATAAAGATTTTGTACCATTCATTATTTTTCCTATATTGGGATCTCATTTTGGCCAAAAAACTAATTAAACCAAAAATTTTCCCTCATTCATTCTCCCTGAACAATTTTCCCATGCTACGCCACTGAATTTAAAAGTCTCTCCACCGACGTTGCCATTTTTTTCGCCCACTTTGAGCTCTCGTGCTAACTCTGAGCTAAAATTTCCCTAAACTTTGAGGTTATACCTATGCCAACAGCTCAAAACCCCAACACAACCCATTCAACCAACAAAATACCATTATTTACCATAATTATTAACCACGAAACATTTTTTTTACAAAAATTCCCCATTTTCATTCAACTATCCACCAAACACATTCAACAGGCGCGAAACATATCAAAAACCCAACCAATCGCAACCGTTTGTGGCAAATCACCATGGTAACGCAGTAAACAAACCCTAACCAATAACGTTCTGCTACTAGTTCACGTGACAACACTGTCCGACCTCATTGGTTGCTGATTAGAATTCAAATTTCCCGCCGGTCTATCGAATGTTGTATCCGCTAAGTTTTTGACAGCTTGGCAACAGCGCTTGTATCGAGTTTTATAAGAGAAATGTCTGCCAGGCCAGAGAATTTCCTTTAGTTTTAAATTGGTCTTTTTTCGTGGAAATAATTGTGAATTTTGCCAGGTTTTTAATCGAAATGGTTTCATTCAAGTGTTCGGTATAGAATTTTCCAGTTTTGCAAGGTAATTTAACGTTTTTAAGTCGATTATTTGCCTGGGTCCTCCACGAGGTCGCCATTTTTCTTTTATTGTTGTCGTTGTTTGGTTCGGCCTAGTTTAATTGGAATTTTCTTGGGAATTTTAATGAAAAATGGTTTATTTAATTAGTTGAATCCTTGTAGAATGGTTTGGGCTTGATTTAAAAGGTAAGTCGGATCAATTTTTGGGAAAAATTGTAGATTTTAGAACGGGGTTTTCATCAAGTCATTCAGCCATTTTTGCCTTTAAAATCTGGACCTTGACGTAGGCCAAATTTAATTTTCGAAATTCAATTTAGAGCATATTGTTCATTTAAGTAATTTTTATATCATTTGGTAGATTGTATAAATTACCCGAGTCTTTATTTATTAAAATTATTGTGAATTTAATGCAAATTTGTATATTATAAATACATTACCGAGTACATTATGTACAAAGTTAGGAAATAAACTAAATTTATGGTTCAATTTAATGCCTACCACCTAAAATTGCAGGGGCGTGCCGCGTTTCATGGGGGCCCCGAACAGTTTCGGTAAAAATAGAAGTACCTAAACAAAAAATATCATAGAAAAATTTATTAAAGATCATAACATGTAATGAAAAATAAGTAATACTCTGGTGAAAAAAAAACAGACATAAAAACTATGGAAAAAATTGTGAAAATAAAAAAATAATACCCAAACTCTGGTTCAAGCAAAACAAAAACTAAAAAATAATAGAGGAAATTGTAATGCGACCATTTTCTCTAATTTGGTGGTAGAGAACTAGAGACTAGCATTTTTTGTGTCGACTAGTAGAACGACTGGATAAATAATGATCAACTATAGTTAGTATATAGTATATAGTTAGTTCATCAATATTTACATCTTTAGCTCTTTAGTGCTCTATTGAGATGAGAGCTAAAGAACTTAGATGAGTTTGAGACATGGTCGACCTAAGGACATTTTTATCAAAATTATGGTGCGTTGGAGTCTGGAGTGGAGTAAAAATTAAACGATTTTATATAAAGTTATGTTTTAACATTTTACGCTAAATTATCACTTCTCATTTCCAATGCATCCGATGGTTGCAAAAATTGAGAAATCTTCGATTTTTTTGAAACACTCGAATTGACATAAGTGGAAAAATATTTTGTGTGAGAAGAATACCTTTTTTATTTTGGGGGCCCCAAATATCCCGGGGCCCGTCAGGCACGCCACTGTAAAATTGAATTAATTTAATTTCCTCATATTTGGATTATTGTACAAATTTTATATAAACATAATATTTGAAAATATTTCATCACAAGTGGAAATTGTCTATTTTTGACCTCATTTATTCTTCTTCAGATAAACTTGCTGGTAACTATCTGCAAGATAAATGTATTATTATTTCTATTTTCTGTTGGTCGATGGATAACTGGCCAATGGAATTACAGATTGTGTTTTTATCTTTCAGATTGCATACCTCACAGTTTTCAAAAGGTGAATAAACTGTCCCTAAATATAAAACTGAAAAAAGGGTTTCAACTAGAATCACACTGCAACCCTGATAAGGATATTTTAGATGCCATTGTGTGGTTTATAGACCACCTAGCAGTCCCAAGGTGGAAAAAAACTTCGGGAACTATATAATAATTAGGTGCTAATTAGGGCCTCTAATTAAAAATTAGGTGCTCCTTTAGTTTTTGAGAAAATCAAAAAAAACTAAGGGACTGCTAGGTTTATACAAGCTAGCAGTCCCCTATAGAAAACTAAAAAATATTTTTTCAAATTTTTTCTTTGTATCAGAATTAGGTGCTTTTTAGGTCCTCCTAAATAGTCCAAGAAAAAATAGAATTGATTAATTATTAACTGAGTTACAGATTTTTTTTTAATTATTAGGGGACTGCTGGCTTTACGTTCACATGTTGGTGTGTCAGAATGAAAAAAAACTTCGGGATCTATATAATAATTAGGTGCTTTTCAGGTGCTAATTAGGGCCTCTAATTAAAAATTAAGTGCTCCTCTAGTTTTTGAGAAAATCATAAAAGAACTAAGAGATTATTAGGTTTATGAAAGCTAGTAGTCCCCTATGGTAAAAAATATTTTTTCAAAATTTTCTATTGTATCAGAATTAGGTGCTTTTTAGGTGCTCCTAAATAGTCGAAGAAAAAATAGAATTGATTAATTATTAACTGAGTTACAGATTTTTTTTAAATTATTAGGAGACTGCTAGCTTTACGTTTACTTGTTGGTGTGTCAGAATGGAAAAAAACTTAGGGATCTATATAATAGTTAGGTGCTTTTTAGGTGCTCCTTTAGTTTTTGAGAAAATCAAGAAAAACTAGGAGACTGCTAGGTTTATGAATGCTAGCAGTCCCCTATAGTATTTTTTTTTTGTACCAGAATTAGGTGCTATTTAAGTGCTCCTAAATAGTCGAAGAAAAACTTGAATCAGTTAATTATTAACTAAACAGATTTTTTTCATTATTAGGAAATTGTTGGCTAATAATAATTTGGTGCTAGTTAGGGCTACTAATTAAAAATTAGGTGCTCCTTTAGTTTTTGAGATAATCAAAAAAAAAAAAAAAACAAAGGGACTGCTAGGTAAATGGAAACTAGCAATCCCCTAAAGTGAAAAATATTTTTTTCAAATTTTTCGTTTGTATCAGAATTAGGTGCTTTTAAGGTGTCGAAGTCGAAGAATTTTTTTTCATTACCTATTAGGGGACTGCTGGCTCAAAAATTAGGTGCTCCTTCAGTTTTTGGGGAAATCAAAAACTAAAGGAGAACCTAATTTTTGATTAGAGGCCCTGATAAGCACCTGAAAAGCACCTAATTATTATAAAGATTTCGTAGTTTTTTTCCATTCGGACAGACTACTAGTAAACGAAAAGCCAGCGGTCCCCTAATAATGAAAAAAAAAATCTGTTAATAATCAATCGCTTTCATTTTTTCTTCGACTATTTAGGAGCACCTAAAAAGCACCTAATTCTGATACAAAAGAAAAAATTGAAAAAATATTTTTTACTTTAGGGGACTGCTAGTTTCCATTAACCTAGCAGTCCCTTTGTTTAGGAGCACCTAATTTTTAATTAGTAGCCCTAATTAGCACCTTAAAAGCACCTAATTATTATATAGATCCCGAAGTTTTTGTTCATTCTGACACACCAACATGTAAACGTAAAGCCAGCAGTCCCCTAATAATTAAAAAAAAAATCTGTAACTCAGTTAATAATTAATCAATTCTATTTTTTCTTGGACTGTTTAGGAGGACCTAAAAAGCACCTAATTCTGATGCAAAAGAAATTTTTGGAAAAATATTTTTCACTATAAGGGGACTACTAGCTTTCATAAACCTAGCAATCCCTTAGTTTTTTTTTGATTTTCTCAAAAACTAAAGGAGCACCTAATTTTTAATTAGAGGCCCTAATTAGCACCTTAAAAGCATCTAATTATTATATAGATCCGGAATTTTTTTTTCATTCTGACACACCAACATGTAAACGTGTTCTTATCCTGATAGAGAAAAATTTCAGCTCATTAATATTTATAGTTCCAGGGGTAATTTGGTAATTTATCGATTTTCCAATTTTCTGAGTACTTTTTTTTATAGAATCCGGCTCCAAACTCAAAATAATTTAGTGTGAGGAGTTTGGGAGGTCCTGAATGATCATTTAGACACAAAATCTCAACCTCGATCTCAACATAAAAAATTTTGAAATTTCATCATTTTCGTACTGGGGTAGCTAAATACCTTATGATTTAGACGAGGATTTAGATTTTTGTTAATTTAAAAAAATCATAACTTTTTTTCTATTAGAGATGAAAAGTTGAAATTTTCAGTGATTCTGATTTCTTATCCCAGAAGAGGACTACAAATTACAATCCCTGAAAATTTTAGCTCACTTGGACTGGATAGTTCTATTGAATATACAGGGTGTCCCATAAGTCACGGTCCAAACTGAAAGGGGTGATTCTTTGGATTATTTTATAACCAAAATTTCAAATAAACATAGGTCTGCAAATGCTCCGTTACAGATCTACAGGGTGGTGAAATTTTAATGTATTCATATTGGAAATGAGCAAGACTATGGCGGCAAGGGCGTGGCTTACTTCTAGATTCCCACTGAAAATTATCAAGAATATGGCGGTGGGACTTCTATTGTCGCCACTGTAGGTAGAAAAGGTATATTGAGTCACTGTAGTTTCATCTAGCTACATTACAAATAATTGTTTTTTAATTTTTTTTCTTGATAAGGGTAGGTAATTCGAGAAAACTACAAGAGAACAAAAAAATTCTAAAATAGAGAGAAAAGTCATTTAGTTCTTTAGGATCTACCAGCGGCGCACTGCGAAAAAGTTCAGGGGCATAAAAGGGCTTAGAAAGGGCATATGACCCCTGGAAAAACATCACCCTGTGAATTCTAGCAAATGTTTGAAATGTGCAATTATTTAGCTCCTATTGCGTCACCTATATTCCAGATTTCAGCTAAATCCCTCAAAAATTGCAGGAGCTATAAAGAAAAAACTAAAAAAAATATTGAAATTTCAACACCCTGTAGATTGGTAACGAAGCGGTTGCAGACATATGTTTATTAAAAATTTTAGTCATAAAATAAACCAAAGAATCACCCCGTTCAGTTTGTACCGTGACTTATAGGACACCCTGTCTAAAACTGAAATTTTCGGCGATTCTTATTCTAGTAAAGGACTACAATCCCTGAAAATTTCAACTCATTCGGACTTATAGTTCCTGAGATAAAATCGTGTTAAGCAATTTGGGGTGATTTATCAATTTTTCAATTTTTCTGAGTGCCTTTTTTCATAGATTTCGGCTTCAAATCTGAGAATAATTTAGTGTATGGAGTTTGTGGGATCCCAAATGACCATTAGGACACAAAATCTCATTAAAAAAAAAAATTGAAATATCATCCATTTAGTAAGAAGGTACCTAAATACCTTATGATTTAGATTTTGGAAAACTTTGGAAGGTCATAACTTTTTTCCTATTAAAGATATAAAGCTGAAATTTTCAGCGATTCTTATTCCAGTAGAGGACTACAATCCATGAAAATTTTAACTCATTCGGGCTCTAGTTCCTGAGATAAAATCTTGTTAAGCAATTTGGGGGAATTTATCAACTTTTCAATTTTTTTGAGTGCCTTTTTTCATAGATTTCGGCTTCAAATCTGAGAATAATTTAG